CTCTCTCTCTCTCTCTCTCTCTCTCTCTCTCTCTCTCTCTCGTCCGCCCCTCTATAAACGACACATAAAGACGTACCAAAGGCGCCCCCCTGCCCTCTCCTCCTCCTGCACACTTCCCATCCTCCACCCCTTCTCTCTCGCCCCACTCCCTCCATCCCACACACATACACATGCACAAACTGTGCCTCGAACTGTCACCTTGAGGAAAATTTGAGCTGTCATTCAGCCGTTGCTAATTTTAGTAACAGTGATTTTTCTTTTTACAACGAGTTTTCACTCGGTATCTTTCCACCTTTTTTTTTCTCTAAACTACACTTTATTATTCTCTCAAATTCGTTTTGGACCCCCACCGGTGACCCCCCACCCCATCTCTGACTACCGCTGTTGGGGTGGGAGGCAACATGAATCCCTCTAATTTTGGACCATGTTCTCGATTTATGCGTGTCATCCTTGAAAGCGCAGGGGCCATTTGCTAATTACCCTTCTCTGTATCGTTCCAATTTTGACGGATGTGCAGAAGGACATCCCTCTAATTTTGTGAGGCACCTATGCTTGCAGAAGTCACCTCTATTTATAGCCTTAGGAGAAGTGGTAGGTAGGTAGTGAAAGCCTGAAAGGCCAAAAAAATAATTTTTGAGAGAAGAATATCTTTCCCTTTTTCGGAACCGTCAACGGATTTGCAGGACGAGACACGTTATTACCTTCGAAAGATTATTTTCACAATTCAAAAGATTTTTTCACAATTTTATTGAGATTTTTTGCTTTTTTCTCTCCTCAAATTGGAGATTTCCACTACTTCAGCAAATTTGAAATCTTGGAAAGAATCGAAACTGCACAATGATTACTATCCTTGAACAATGATCACGTCTTGTTCCCTTTTTAATTAAAAAAAAAAAAAAAAAAAACCCTAAAAATTAAAACTTTCATTTACGTCTTGTGAAAATTACCAGCGACGTAAAAAAAAAAAAAAAAAAAAAAAAAAAAAAAAAAAAAAAAAAAAAAAGGAATAAACACAAAGGTAGAAATAAAAAAAAAAAAAAAAAAAAAAAAAAAAAAAAAAAAATCGACTGTTGTCGTTTTTTCAGTCGTTCCTTTCTCTCCCTCTTTTACATCCAGAATAATCGGGATTTCCACCTAAATAGACAACAAAAAAGAACAAAAAAGGAAACAAGAAACAAAATCCCCAAAAATAAAAAATGGTACAGAAACAAACAAAAAAAAGATTCATGACACCTGCAAGAGCAGACGCGTTGCCCCCCCTTTTTTATGATAACGAAATGAGCGGAGTTCATTTTTGTTATTAAAAAAAAAAAAAAAAACGCCTCGCCCTCTCTCCTTCTCCCCCCCTCTCTTCTCAAATCCACCGTCGACCTACCGAATTCCCCCGAACATAACGCACCCTCATCCTGACTGCACCTGACCGGAAAGATAGCTTGTATACAATCATGATAAGGGTTCATTCTGCTCGTGGGATGAACGTAGTCATCATAGGGGGGGAAGGAACAACCACACTCTTACCTCCGGTTCACAGTACATGGATTAGCATGTCACGTTTTTTGTTTTTTTCTTGAGGATACCCCCAGCCGAGAATTACAACTCACTATCCTTCCTCGCCCCCCCCCCAAGAAAGAAAAAACAAAGAAGTCAAAAGGTGTATACAACTGTCTAGGTACCTACCACACGGGACAGTACATGGACTGTCTCTTATACACATCTAGATGTGTATAAGAGACAGGGATGAGGAAGGGCAGGAGGAGGACGAACAGGAG